CCAACCCCGAACTCACAAAAGTCTAACTGGCGTAGCTCCTAAGCTTTTGACCCATGTCTTAACCTAGATATTTATCAGCAGACAGTGTTCCCAATAAGAAATGTTCACTTAGAAGCTTCGTGGAGATCCCTTGCTATTTCGAAAAAGCGTACTTTCTTTTCATAAAGTCTTCAAGCGAGCGTATTTTGCCTCACAAAACAGGGGACAAGATGACAAAGTTAACAAGAAATGTTCACCTTTTTGGATGGTGCCGCAGCAATGTGTAGAGCTGCCGCCTCCAGGGACTCGGTGCACATTGTCAACAAATCACGAGCAAGTGATTGAAAAACAGCCACCTGAAACTATAAATACATTCAGCTTGACAAGCAAACCATGTTTTATAAATATTAGTTGAAGAAAGTGCATTAGTGGGAGTGTCGAACTGCAGAACTGATATAAAACATACGTCGAGACATCTGTACAACTTTGCAAGGCACATGACAGTCCGACGGACAGTTGGATACCAGAGACAGTGCAGATCAACAGCGGAAATTGGTGCAGGACTTGGTCTAGCCGAGGACGAGTTCTTGCGCATATTGCCTAAAGAGCCACACAAGTAAGTAATAACAACTGCAGAAAAAGTCGGCTTCAACAACTTGAGTTCAGAACTGTTCTTTACCTCCACCATCTGCCTCCTGCTTCTCGGCCTTTTCATCGTCTTCCTTCTTTTTGGCCATCTCAATACTCTTCATCATCTCTAGTTTCTCTGGATATGCCAGATCTCCCGCCGCTGGCTTGTAGCCAGCAATATCAGTTTGACCATATAGGACAGCTCTGCAAACGATTTGTTCATTTTTGCAGCACATACATGTGTAACTTCCGAAGAGCTCGCTATTGAACCTTGCAAACATTTGCATTTAGCTTCCCCTTCTCCTAACACGACCCTTATCGTTAGTTCAGATAGCTATTTATTTGCGGTTTACGGACCATCTGAACTTTTCTCAATGGTACTGACGTGAATGACCAGAACACGGACGATTAAAGAACGGCGTCAACCGTAGTTTTTAACGGTGCCAAAGAGAGATACGTAGTCAGGGAGAATGAGGGCAATTCAAGGGATGAAGGAAAGAGGGATTGAGCCACTTTTCATTTAGAAAAGGTTTGAGCATGCGAAGTCTAGTTGTAAACCACAACTCAGGCGACAGGGCGCAGACACGGGCAGCAAGCTGATTTTTTCATCAAAGGACCGAGTTCAAGTAGTCTGTAGACTTTTAATTGAAATAAATGTTATAAGAAGCCAAAGAGCTAGCAAAAGCGTACGACCATGGTGATCAGTCTAATGGTGACATTTTGCAAAATATGCTAATAATGCGGCCAGGTGATAGGGATATTCAAACTATTATAGTATTTACCACCAACCTATAGACAATCCTCTCCGCCACATCTCCCACAAGTTCGCCAATAACATGCACAAAACCCGCACGTGGATCAAATGAGGTGCATTCTTCAGCGACAATCGGCGGAAGCACGGAGCATCTTTCCTCGATCATTTCGACCTGAACAAAAGCATGCAGTGATGACAACGAATGACTTTTGAAATAGACGAATCACTACGGTGCCTACCTTAAGAATGGAACACAACTCTGCTAAGGTCTCCAAATGTGGATTGTGAATCACGATCGGGCGCAACATATCGTACAACAACCGGCAAATTGCCTCTATAAACTCCTCAAATGGATGAGGGGTATCAGAATGTTGCGTGCGGGCTGACGCCACTGAAGGAGTTGGGCTGAAACGAGGTATGATAGCACGAGGTGAAAAATAGTTAGGCGTCGTAAGACCTACCTGTTCCGTCGACCGAAACGAGACGGTGGACCGCCTGACACCTGGCCCGTTGAGAAGAACTGCCGATAAAGACGAAACTCGTCATCGCAAAGACCCAAAATGAACGCACAGCTATTCCGTGTCAAGGCGCAAGAAGAGTCTGCGTAGGTGCTGAACAAATTTCAAAATAGATCTTAAAGCAAGAAGCACCTGACTTTACCACAAAAGCATGCAAATCGAATAAAGAACTTCAAGTGGATATCAAAAAAGAATTCGGTCATACTTCGAAAACATGTGAGCGAGAGTAGCTTGAATAATTGGCGTCAAAAGTTGCTGTCTAGTATTGAAGTAAGCCTGCTGGCACTCAGCCAGCATTGCTTGAAGCTCCGGGAACCTGGGCAAACCTTTGCTCGGCAACTGAGAGTGCGGCTCCTGAAACAAATTTGTACAAGGGGCTGATGGAAAGCGTTGCGATGGCAAGCGTGCAGGCTTTTGCAATTTCAGGCTAATAAACCTATCAGCCAAGATAAAAAACTGACTTAAGATTTAGTCGAGTTGCGAACACACAGAGCAGACAAATGTATTCATCAGCTCTCCTCGGCCAATTTTGCAGAGTACTCTGGTAATACTTTCGTTATGACCATTAGAATGCCGCAACTCAGTGACTTACGTTTTAACTTAAAAAAGGGCACCAATTGGTCTAATCAACAAAGTCAGCGCGAGGATGAGATGGATCTATGCGCTTATGTGAAATATTACATTAACTCAGTGAGAAAATTCTGGAGACTGAAAGTTGTCAAGAACTAATGTGTGAAGGACCTGTAATTGAGACTGTCGATCTCTGACATCGTTGACAGAAGCCTCGATATCTGCCATCACTCCGACACGGATCCATGTCATCGCCCTAGTGAAAAAAGGACTTAACTGATAGTCCAATAAGAGACAAGAGAACTGGCGTAAAAAGCGCACTTTATAGCTTCGCTTCTGACGAGAAACAAATACAATTGTTCAAAATTGCAATACTAACTCAGACGAACCTACTGAGGCATTGCTCGTATTTTACGATGTAAGCAGCAGACTCCTTATACTCTGGATGCTGACGAAGAAAGGTGAGACATTCATCGATCGTGGCGAGGATACCAGTGAACATTTGTCCAGTTACAGAAATTTTTGTCGTATTGTTTAGTTTCTAGAAAAAAAACTATGATGATGATACTTGACAAGTTTACCTCGCTTACCTTCATGATGATATCGGCTTGCTTGAAAAAATGCAAATTCGTTCGGATCTGCTCAGCTCCTGCAGCAAGTGCTGTTTGATATGCCAATGCTCGATCACAAGCGTCGTGGAGGCTGGATGTGCGAGCCGTTACGCTCGCATACGACGTACGCAGCTCTGCCATAGTCTGGAAACAAAATCGTGCCGTTTTTTTTTGATTTATTGTCGTTTTCTCAACGAAAAACTTGTAAAAGCCTGCGATGAGAACTTGTCGCCTTCCTGAAACAAATACTAAATATAAAAAGGGAAGCAGATGGGAGAGTTCTTCCAAAGGCCACCAATATTCCCTCAAAAACGGTGAAGTAAAGCTCTTTAAACTCGAATGAATTGCCCTAACTGAACACAGTAGGTCACATGACCATCAGCTTCCCTGATGTGAAGGAAATAACTCTTCTGCTGCTTCTATTATCACCTTACCCCTTCACCCACACCTGTGGTACACAACCGCAATAATAATGGATGAAAAGATGAAGACGAAAGAAAAAGCCACGTACCGAGAGATACGAAATAATGAAAAGAAAGAATAGGAAAAAACAAAGGGGACAAGAGAGATAGCATACGTGATTCTCTTCGAGTTATTTCGAACACACTACTGAATATGGAGAAATAGTAAACCTTCAATTAAATACTGCTGTTACTACCTTAGTGCAAACACTCATTCGCTCCTTGAGAAGTCGTAATCGTTGCATATTTGCACGGAGGGCCACAACCTCCGGAGCTTCTTGCTTCTCAACCAGCGGCAACTCCATGTTACGAGCCTCCCGCACTGTGGAACAAAGTGCACTCGCTAGTACTGAGTCGCCAGTTACGCACGTCGTTTCTTCTGCAATCTTCCAACTTCAAAAGAATCTAGAAAAATGAAAAATAAAACAATTTCACGCTCACCCTTATCGGGATAGTCATCAGATTCAGCTGGTAAACCATAGGCGGCAGCCTTGGCTGCTAGCAGTTCCACGGTTTTCAAATGAAGTTGCTCGAACTCCATTTTTCACATAGACCCTAACACTGAACGATTACGAAGCAGGTTCAAGACCAATTCATAATGATTTCACAGAATTTCGTACAATATGAGAACAGTGAAACGTCTTCAGGCCACAAACATATGATAGAGGAACTGTTTATCTTCCTCAAGTTTTGCCAGCGATAAATTCTCATGCGAGATCACAAAGGTTTTCAAATTTGTATTCTATACAGGAGTACAAGGAAATATAGCAACATCAACAGCAAGATATGAAGATCAATTCAATAAAACATGCAAATCACGAAATGTAAGTGCAATCCACGCATGTCTTTCATACTAAACAAGACAACAAAGCTTCAGTCGACGTAACGAAACCGTTCGCTTCGAACCTGAAATAAAAAATTCAGGGTGAATCAGGTGCATAGGCACGAAACTTGATAGAAACAAAAAAAACATGAAGGTTCCATTTCGTTGGTGAGACAAAACCACGAAATTGATCGCTGACTTTTTGCAGTGCGACTATCAAGCTTTTCGGGACCATCAGTTTTTGACAACAATTATCTCAGCAAACCCGAACATTTTTCCCCTTTCCCGGACAGCTATTGCTTTCCATAGAAACATGTATGAACTCAGAAAATCCCATGAACCTTAACTAGTAGGTTCGCACCATTTCACGCCCAAGCAGAGCTGCCACAGTCTCAAAAAATCTCCTACGGCTCAAGTGTAGTCAGAGAGGCATCCAGTTGTGGAGCATCCATGACATTCGGAACCATAGCGAAACACTTCCTTTTCATAGTCACTTCACTTCTTGCACAAACCCCTTGTTCACCCGCCCCGACGGGACTTAGTCTCTCTGCCAAAAATGGGATTACTGTTGCTGAGACGAACTTAAGCGTAGTGGTGCTCCTCCAATCGAACTTGCACTTCCCTTACACTTAGAGTTTGCCTTTAAAGGAAGATTCCACGATAGGAACGATGTTGAAGATGCCCAACCAAAAGGTGGTCGGACCCCCACGCAAATCCACCATCCAACGATAAGCCCGGCATACGATCTAACATGGTCTTCCCTTTGGCACAGTTGGCTCGGAACGCCCAGCGACTATCTAATCATTCGCTGCAGGTCTATATGTGGGGCCAGACAGCAGAAAGCGTAGAGGGCACAACGATGAAAGTCGCATCAATGCGCAAATCAACGGGCATTTCTCGTGGTACGAACCGTTTCACATGGTTTTTCCTCATCCCTGCTTCACTGACTCCCCTCTACCCTTATTTTCAGTGTACTTATTCTTCATCGTAAATTCTGCCTTTAGAGCATTTAAGATCCAGTTGGAAGATGAAGAAAAGAGAAGAGAAAGGAAAGATAGCGGTTCACCTCAGAAGTAAAGTGTATTTTTTAGTTTTGACTTGTACTAGCAGAGAATGCCACAGCGATTTTGTCTTGTTCTGAAGCCAAAGACCTGCACAATTTTTTGTGGAAATTATAAAATGTACCTTATATTTTCCATCTTCAACCATGAGAATGAACGTATGCGTGAAGGCATGTACAGTGCCACCCAGAGTGACTGTGCCTGCGGTCGTAACTGTGAAGTAACGGATAGCCAGGGAGGCCTGCAATTTACGTCGCTGAACATCTACCGGAGCACCAAATAGGTGCGTTCTGCAATGATATATCCTGAAAATAGGCTCATTATCATGCCCATAAAGCACATTATATTCGGTGAAAAAATCGGTACTACTGCACGATTAAAACCCCAGTGGGGGTGAGAAACGTCGAATAAATTTTTTGCTAAAACTTCCTACAATTGGCGCCAGAACCTAAATGGTTAGTAACAGCCACGGCTTCTTTCCACCAAAAACTTTGCTGTAGACTTGTGTAAGGGGTAATTTGGTGTCCTGATTACGAATGTGGCAGGAGGGGGTGTGGTTCACTAAGATTCGCAGCGCGAAACATTTTTCGCTGTGAGAGCTCCAGGTCCACTCATGATCAGCGGTGGACCTAAGGCTCCAGCAACAAAAAAATGTTTCGCGCTCCAAAACGCGAAAGAGTCGTTTCCGTCCTAGTGAACCGCACCCTGGCAAGGATCTTTAGCGCTGACACAATGTGGCACCCATTTCCAACTCGCCTGCTGCCCTCAACAAAATTATCGCAATCATGCGCCAAGCCTTCGGGAAGAGAGCTCCGAGTAAGCCAGGCGTGTCCACTTAAGGACAGAATCGACATTTTCGCGTTTGCGGCGCGAAAACATTTTCGTGTAGGGTACCTCGGGCCACTGATTAATCAGCGGTGTTTCGCGCCTGCAAACAACGCGAAAAATGTCGCGTTCCTGTCCTTGTGAAGCACACCTCAGATAAACAACTACACCTGTGATTCCCAATCACACATCATTTTTCGCCACGTGTGCATGTTCGCCCCACAAGTCTACCCTTCCCAACTTCGAACACCAGCAGCCCCAGAGCCAAAGATGGATTATCTGCTCTGATGGAGCTCCCAACCCCTCCCCAGAGGGTTGTTTCAGCGAGAATTTTTTCGATCCATCTAAACTTGAGATCCGAAAGTTGGGGTAGGCGTGTCACCGGAAGTGACGTGTACTTGATAGAAGCTGTGGGATTTGCTGGTGCTTCCAATACACATCGCTGGATATCAGCAAAGCATGCTGGCAACGACTTATCCACGCAATTTCTATCAAGTGCACGTCACTTCCGGCCCACGCCTATCCCAGCTTTCGGATTTCGACTGTAACTTTCATTTGAGAGTAAACCTGTGCAAAATGCCGGATAATTGATAGAATGATAATTGATTTTTGTTTTGATGAAGTGAAGCATCTAAGAATAGATAGCAAACTACTAATAACTTCATACTTGAAAGTATATACGCAATCTGATACGGAATTTTCCGTTCCAACATCCAAAATGTCGAAATCCGCTCATCACAAATAAAGATAATTGATTTTATCACGTTTCCGGTCCATAGCATATCATAGAAAATTTTTCGTAAAAGCAGATGCCTCCTTACAGATCTCTTCGTCCAGACGATCAGCCTCCACAGCCATGTCTCAGCCTGGAACGGACACGGCACGTACGTATTCGTTTTGTGAAGTTTCGAGTTCACAATAAAAGGGGTTTCAAGCACATGTAAAACGACACGAAAAACAACTGATGCCTTAGCTAATTAGCAGTTGAAAGAAGCATTGATGGGGAGAAAGGAAGGAATAAATGAAATTGTTCCCCGAGCACAAGAAATAGCTATATTCGAAAGTAGCGAGAAATGAGAAGTGCTTATAGAGACAGACTATACCATCGCGAGATCCCGGAACGAACTCATCGAAAAAAAGCGAATTGAGAATTTGGACGAACTGTATCAATATAGCGATCAACAAAAAAAACTTGTCGGTTCCCCGGGGTGAATTACGAAAACGGGACACCGCCAACACCTCATCGGTTACGGCGCTCCAATCAATTTGCTGCGTGGCGCTTAATTCGTTGTCAGAAAGCCTTGCTACCATCCTCCCTCAGGGACGGTATTCAATCCTTCCCCCAGGAGGATATATACCTCTCCCCTGATTCAATCCTCTGGGGGGACAAAAAAGGGTTGCGTCGTGCTTCATCAGTGGAGGGTAGCGCGCTGCTCTAACTGTCTGGCAGGTAGAAACACAGAGGTATGCTAGGTCCTATGACGCAACCCTTTTTTGTCCCCCCAGAGGATTGAATCAGAGTAGGGGGATATATCCCCCTGGGGGAAGGATTGAATACCGCCCCTGGCGCGTCCCCAGCAGAAAGCCTACCTTTGTTGAGAAACAGGGCTGCGTCCCATAAAACAAATCACACTTCTGCCGTTTCTAATCTCTAAGAAACGGACTCCTCAGAGAAAGAGAAAAGAGTGCCGCCATAGGGCGGATTCATAGTCGGTCGTCCAGTCGTAACCGCACAGCATTCGATGGTCAGACGTAACCGCGGACTGGACAATCGATAGGTATCTAACACTGTGCCATGGTTACGACTGTTACGATCGGCGACTATACGCACACCCATTGAGAGGGTACAGCATCAACCAACACGCGCTCAATGGCGTTTTGCCGTAACCCTGTCTCCCCAAGCATAGGATAGAATCAGCAGCCAGAAACGCGTCTCCCTGGGGAAAGACAGGATACGACCCACCCATGATCTCAGTCGCCATGCGTGAAGTTCGGGGCCAGGGTCAACCCTACGTTGTTACGAGTAACAACGGGAGGGTCGTACTCAGTTGAGCTTGAAGGGGGGGGGGGGTCGTAGCGCTCTCCGTGGCTGAGTGGGATTCTTGGTAATATCGGATAATAGCCAGCACGTTACGTTTTCGTAAGATGTCTGGTACTAGAGCATCTATAAACAACGCTTCCCTCTAAATGAGCTTTCGAATGAATCAGCGAATTAGAAGGGCGCCCGAGGCGTGGCGCGCACCAAGGCAAGGGATGTAGTGCAAGCGCATGCTCGGAGCTTTCTAGCACATCCTAAATTAAACATAAAATTGGTCTTCCAAGAAGTTACGCATGAAACCTAAAACTCGCGTTTCGAGAAAAAAATGGCTTGAAGAATATCCCTCAAAATAAAAAGTACAACGGGACTAATTTTTGAACTGCTGATCTTTCAAGAACGCTTGGGTGCTCGTTAGAAAGCTTGAAACCTGTAGTTTATTATACCGTGTTCAGCTTCCCAAATGAATGACTTTTAAGGAAGTTATGATCGTTTGAAGGTAAAAAAGTCGCGGTTCCAAAAAAATAGTAACGCAAACCCCCAAAAAAGTAACAACGGGACTAATTTTTGAACTACTGATCTTTCAGGAACGCTTGGGTGCTCGTTAAAAGCTTGAATCGGCACTATTGAGCTATTACAACCCCAGAGGGGGTGAGATGGATCAAAAAAATTTTTTTTTCGCTGAAACTTGCGCTAGGGGGGTTATCGAGGCTCCTGATCACGAATATGACCTTAGTTTTTGGCGCTGGCGCCAAATTGGCGCCATTTGGCGCCAATTGGCGCCAAGGGTGTTCTCACCAAATTCGCTGTAAACTTGTGGATAGGGGTTATCGAGGCTCCTGATCACGAATATGACCTTAGTTTTGGCTCAATTTCTCTAGGTGACGCTCGAAATAGATGTCATCTAGGCGCTCATCCAGTAAGGGGGGCATCAAGTGGCTGCCCTCACCCCCACCCCCCCTGAACTGGCTTCACTCCCCCTGGCTCACGGGGTCCCGTACTTCGAGAAACCTGTGTGCCAGGGGGAGTGTAGGCAGTCTAGGGGGTGGGGGTGAGGGCAGCCACTTGATGCCCCCCTTACTGGATGAGCGCCTAGATGACATCTATTTCGAGCGTCACCTAGAGAAATTGAGCCAAAACTAAGGTCATATTCGTGATCAGGAGCCTCGATAACCCCTATCCACAAGTTTACAGCGAATTTGGTGAGAACACCCTTGGCGCCAATTGGCGCCAAATGGCGCCAATTTGGCGCCAGCGCCAAAAACTAAGGTCATATTCGTGATCAGGAGCCTCGATAACCCCCCTAGCGCAAGTTTCAGCGAAAAAAATTTTTTGATCCATCTCACCCCCTCTGGGGTTGTAATAGCTCAATAGTGCCTTGAATCCTGTAGTTTATTATACGTGTTCAGCTTCCCAAATGAATGACTTTGAAGGAAGTTATGATCGTTTGAAAGGTCAAAAAGTCGCCTTTGCACAGAAAAAAGTAACAACGTACTAAATTTTTATAAATTAACTTTCGAAGAATTTTTACCCATGGTTGGAGAGAGAATAATTTGAATTTTCCAAATCAAATCACTTCGGCGCAGAAGCTCGAATATGAAGGAAGTTATAGCCCTAGAAAGAGGAGTGTAAAAATTGTGTTGCAATTTTATTTTTTGCCTAATAACTTATTCATTCCGAAGTGTTTGAGAACAAATGAGCACTCGTTAGGAAGGAGGAGCCACGTCGATCCAAAATCCACCTGAATCTTCCGAACTACCTGAAATGTAAAAAAGAAAAACTCCTCGAATTTTCACACTCCCCGTTCGACGCCTCTTCACCGTGAGCAAATGCGCTCCACCGTCAGGAGGCTAGGGACTTACGTAGCAATAAATAGTGATGGCAACACTGCCTCTACATTATGCCGATTACAAATGCAGTGTGCAACTAAAGAAGTGAAAAATCGTATGAACGCGCCAACAGGAAATATAACAAGGGACTTCAAACAGGCAGACGATGGCCTGATCTATTGAGCTCAGGTGTCTCGTAGCTGGTGTATCCTCATACATCAATTATGGACGTGGACATTCGGGATGGACAAAGTAATCGAGAAAAGATCATCTCTACATTTCTCAAATTACTATTATTTGTAAATGAATAATTCTAGTAATTCTGAAAAACACTTAGACTCTGGTCAAAATATCTGCAAAGATGACCTGACCTCTAGGAGAAACTCGAAATGTTTGCAAAATGGCTTTACTGTTGGATCATGTACACTTATTTAAGAAGATTCACCCTATTCAATACAATGTTGGAACTTACTACCAGCCCTCTCCTCGTCATCGATTCATTCAATTTTGCACAAAACATAAATACTTTGAATTGAATAAAAGTTAACAAAACAAGAATAAATTAACGTTAATTTCCATGCTAGATATATCGAACTCGAGCACAATCACACATATATATTATCGTAGAATGTACAACAATAGGAGGCGGGATGCGGGACACACATTAAACCCGTCCTTCTTACAACAGAAAGGCCGCGCAAACCTCACTGCATCAAGAGGTACAACTGAACGATCTACACGAACTACATACACCTCCTAGTTAGTCTTCTTTGTTTTACCATTATTGCGAGGTGAACCCGGTTTTGGGGACTTCTTCTCATTCTGCTTCAAAATTTCTCTTGGGATCCATTCAAAATCAACTTCAGAGTTGCTGGTGCCCTGCTCCACAACAGGCTGGCGTTTCTTCTGCATACCAGCTTTTCTCGTGAACTGCAAGCAAATAAATAAACTGTTAAGCATGAGCAAAAACAATTTTTGAGCCGTAAGGTCACAACAGCTACATGTATAAGAAAAAAATTACAAACTGGCAAACGAAAACCGACCAAAAGTGGTGAAAACAAATAAATGCTGCCGTAAAAGGTAAGAATCTTCACCTTATTCAGGAAGTGCTGACCAACAAGAAGAAGCAGCACAATGATAATGGCGAAAACAAGATACATGAAGCCAGTTTCAGTGTTGAAACTAGATTCGTCCTCGAGGATTGTTACAGTCTCGTTAAACACATTGGTGATGTAGTGTCCTTCCTTAAAAAGGTAACAAAGGTGCTTGATTGACATAGCGTATCTGATAAGGGGCAAAATATCTACATTCTATGACTGTGCTGAGATATGATAAAACGTTACCATTGAAAGAAAAGAAAATGGGACAGAGCGTGAACTTTAACCTTACTGGCAATGACTTACCGAATCTTCATAATGAAGGTTAACGACGAGCCCCAGAGGACGGCCGGCAAAGCTTTCGTGGGCAAAGAAAGCATAGTCCAAAGTAACTTCTTCTTTTGGTGCAACACGGCGGTTGTATTGGCCGAGAGTAAACTAAATATGCAGATGACTCGGTTGGAACATCTCATTACACAGAAAAAAGAAACATCTCAGATTAAAGAAGGATTGGAAAGAAGCTCACGTTCTGAAGATAGTAGTTGAAGTCCATAGGATAACGGAATGAAGTTTCAGAATGCTTCACGAGGAAGTCCTTCTCACCTCGATTTTGGAAGCCAATGAGGAATTTTACGACCTTTCCACCATAGATTTCTGCAAATTGTCGACAGTAACTGAGTGAAATCTGTTTAATATTTCGATAAAGGACAAACAGTGAGGGAGTAGGAGAGTGAAGGGAAGAGGTTGGGACAGGAGCAGGGCCAACGGTCCAGTTTGGAAGAAAAATTGGAACCGCAGAATTTCACTTCTAGAGTGCTTCCCAACACGACCCTCTCCCGCGATCGAGCGTCCAATGTTGCTCAACTTTGTTCATGTTGACACCTTTGAAACTTTACCATACAGAACTCGAAAAGTGCTGAAAGCACGTCCGGCATGGATGGGGGAGGGAAACATGTAAGTGTTCAAACGCATAACTTCTGAAATCCTCACTCCACAAAAATCTGCTTCCTCCCATGTTTCCTTCAAAAACACGACACCGCCAAGTAAAGGAACCCAATGTACGGTTAATTGTGGAGGGAAGTCAGTCACGCCAAACTCTACTCTCAACGAGAGTATTACTTCGAAGAGGAATTCGTGAACGACGGGTAATTTAGATAAATTCGAGGGTAAGCAAGTCACTTTACATACGCGAAAAGTTGAAGCAAGCGGAATGTGCTTTTTTGATAAAAATGTGAATGTGTGAGTTCATTCTCACTGAGAGGGAACACACCAGCCACTTCCAACGAAGCTCAAGGTAACACTGAGTAATAAACTGAAGGGTAAAGCTCAATGAGCCAATCCTGGATGGATGGAAGTTTTGGTTGGCGTACGATACTATTTGGCCCCAAATACGACTGCCGTACACGCGTGAAGCATTTTTCTTTATCATTGGAATGGTGAGCAGCTGCATTACACCATTTTCCTTCCATCAAGGTGTAAATTAGTGATGGTTGAAATTAATGTAGGCGCTACTGCATTGGGGAGCGTATTGAGGCGTCACGGTTTCAGCCATATACTCTCAAAATATCACAATTTTGGCATTGAAGCTGCATCCCAATGTAAGAGAATGCCCCTTCCCCAAATTGCCATAGCGTCAAAACGCATTCTTGTTCTGACGGAACCAACCTTTGACGATATTGGCATCGGCGGGTTGAGTGAAGATAAACGAAACAACGGCGTCAGCGGAAGAAGTCACTGTCAGGTCATCATCATCAGCTTTTATGATATCCTGATCCTCAGACACCTCGCCGTCAACGGGATCATCAGCTTGAACTATCCCTTAAATGACACAATACGTATGGATAATTAGCCGGATGGAAACCGGATTTTCGCTTCTTTTCTATCTTATAGAGGATAAAGTCAGAGTCAGAGCTCCGAAAAAACCCGAAACGTCATCTTCAGAATTTCACCTCTTTAATCTCCACATCATTGTTGGGTTTTCTCAGCTAACTCAAAAAGAAACAACAATTCTGAGCATATATTTTGTGAAGGTTCCCAAATGTTAAGTGCAAAAATGAAGGGGATGACTGCTATTTCACCCTTTATGACGTAAAAGGTGGAAAACACCTTAAAATCTGATCCGCTTCTCCAATCAATAAAACAAAGCAGTTCCCGTAAAAGGAACGATCTTCAAATTGAAAGTAAGCAATACCTATCGAAAGAACAAGTGTTCCAAGCAAGGCAAGCAAGGCTGTTTTCGAAAGCATGCCTGAAATATCGCTCTATTTAAAACAAAAACCGGGATGTTATAAACGTTAAACTCAAAAGGCGGCAACGGCAACGCAAAGACATC